ACCATTTCACAATCTTCCTTTGATTTTAATTACCTGGGCAGGTGCGTGGAATCCCGAGCAGATGTTCTAATAGTTTCCCTCAATCAGTCTAGGCCTGGTTCCATCATAATTTCACTGGGTCATGAGTTCGGGAAAGTATATGACGGAAGTGCTATTTTCATTGGACCGGCTCAGGGAGTATAATGTGCACATGAAAGTAGTTTGGGTTGGCATCAAATATTTGGCAAGAGATGATTCAGTAGTCATTTACTCAGTCCCTGCTTTATGCCCAAAGTGGTGCTCAGTACTATAGATTTCAAGAAACATTTTTCTCTCCCCTCCCCTCCCCTCCTCTCCCTTCCACTCTCCTCCTCTCCTCTCCTCTTCCTTATCTTTTTCCCTCTCTCTCTTCTTATCACGTATAGACTACATGTGAGATATTATGCTAAACCCTTTGGACTCATTTAATCAGGATATAATGGTCACCATCATTTCCATCTTACCGAAATTAAGTTCCCCATCCTGACCCAGCTATCAAATGGCAGAGCTGAGGGTTGAATTCAAGTTCTCCCTATTACACAACCAGGCTCTGGGCAGATTCTAGCTCGGCCCTGAACTGTGGTTGCCCAGAAGTAGAGTCCACATGCACATGACGCACTGTAAGGATTCCTCTGTAGCTTTCACCAAAGGGTGAAGCTCATCTAGGCAATGTCGTACAGGGTGGCTTCTCATGGGAGGTGACATTTGAATTGGGAGAGAAGAGCATTCTGGCAAGAAGAAACATGATACGCAGGTCATCCAGGTTCAAAGCACTCGATGTGTTCTGAGAACAGAGTGGTTTAGTGCGACTGACAGGGGTGTGTGTGGAGGAAGCCACCGATCTTTCCTTCCCTTCCTGTTTTCTACAGAGGTGCATCTCAGCCTTGTCTTTCAGATGCTAAGGCGCTGGGTGGTAGAGTTACATGAGCAATCAACACGGGTCGGAGCCAGCATCACACTAGGGCCCTGACAACATTCACTCATGCCACATCTAGCACCACAGCACCCATTCCTGTCAAAGAGGACCCAGGCTCACGACCTGCAGGTACCACTGCTCAGACGATTTGATCATCAGGGAAGAGGACGCCGAAAACTGCAAAGCATCAAACGTGGATGGAGATTCAAACAGCTTCCTAGTAACAGTCACAGCACCTGACAGAAAGCAGACCCCTCTAAATCAAGGCACTCCTCGGAGCTTGACTGAAAGCACTTGTTAAGTGGGATTGACAGGTAGTATCTCCCTGTGAGCCCCTGACAGGAGTCCTGCTCTGTGGCTTATTTTGTTACTTCCTCTTTAAGGCATTCTGAACCAATTTTCAGCAGGGGAAGGAAGATGTGATTAGGGGGGTTACTATCTCAGGCTGTCCGGATGTGTTACAGTCGGAGGAAAATAGCACCTTTATAGATCTGACAGGGCAGCGAGGGCTTCTGCGCTCCACAATGAAAGGGGAGGAAGAGAGCAGCGTTAGGACTGGAGCTACTCTGCTCTGATTTGCTACTCTAACAAATCACCACTGGCTTAGTGACTAGAAAAACGTACAGCTGTTATTTTACAGTTCTGGGGGTCTGAATCCAAAATGGGCTTCCCTTGGTGCAAATGAAGGTGTTAGCAGAGTTGTGTGCATGCGGAAGGCTCCGAGGGGAATCCATTTCCGGTCTCCTGCAGAGGCACCTGCACCCTCTGGCTCAGCTCTGCTTCCTTCCTCACTAAAGCCGGTGCTACAGCAGCCCCCAAGCTCTCTCTGGCTCTTTGGCCTCACTGTCCCACTGTGGCTTTGGCCCACCACTGGCCCACCAAAATAATCTCTACCTCAAAAATTCTTTAAAAAAAATATATTTGGTACACGGTCTCACTAAGCAGCTTGGACTCCTGTTTTCAGTCTCCCCAGTGCTGGGATTACATGCGTGTGCCACCATGTCTGGACTCTGTGACTGGCTCAGCACACCCGGGGGTGAGGCCAGTGGGGCATGTGGTGCTGGGATCAAACCCCGGTCCCTGTGCTTGCCAAAGCTGGTGCTTAGTCTACTGAGCTATCTCGCTGGCCCCCTCATAAGGTCTTTACATCAATTGTACCTATAACATTCCTTTCTCCATGCAAGGTAACATACTCAGACATGCTAGGGATTCAAATGTGGACATCTATAGGAGTCTGATTTTGCTCTGTTGTCCTGCCTACCACAATGACCATGGAAAGGGTAGCTGTATGTCCCAGATTTGTCAACAGGGATGAGAAGTAACTGCCTCCCTCTCCAGGGTGTTATAGAAATGAGCAGAAAAGTACTGACATGGGGTTTCCCCTACCAGGAAAACAGGGGTGTATTATTCAGCTTCTTTTTTCTTGGACCAAGTACTTCACATACACAACTTAGTGGAGGAGTTTCAGAGGCTTATGGTTTTAGGGGCTTCAGTCCATTATTAGCTGGCTCCAAGCAGGAAAATCAGAGCAGAGAAGCATGGAAGGGGAAAGCCATGCAGCTCAGGCATCCAGAAAGCACAGAACAGGGACAGAGCCCAGGTCAAAGGGATCAAGGACTACATGTGGTTCCCAAGGTCATATCTCAGGACCCACTTCCTTCAAAGAGACCCATTTCCTAGAAGCCAGTTCAGGTATACACTCAGTCTCCTTCCCAAGAGTGCCTTAATCCTGTCAAGCTGGTAATCTAGATTATCTGGCATAAACAAGTAGTCACCTTCCTGGGAAGAATCTAACTCAAACTGAAGGGGGTGGCTCTCTGGTCTTTTCACTGCCAGGCTGGGTGATCCAGCCTCACTCTTTCAGTTTTGTAGGGTGCTGTCAACTACACCCCAGCTTGGATGGGTGTTCATAGCTGGTCATGGTGGAATACATCTCCATTCCTAGGCTCACAGGCAGTTGAGGCAGGAGTATCACTTCAACTCATGAGTCTGAGACCATCCTGGGCAACTGAGCAAAACCTCATCTCAAAACAAACTACCCTCCCTGAACACAGGTGAACAAACACACCTTTGCCCAGCAGTGACTTGAATGCTGACTCTCCAGTTTTGCTGGAAAGAAACACTGCTCAAGCAGCATCTCCTACCGGAGAGGTGGACAGTCCAACCACACCTATAGCCGCTACACAAAGCTTAAGCCAGGGTGCATCCTTTTGGCCCCAGGATATCTTCTTTCCCTACACTTCACTATACTTTGATCCTATTATGTTAGAAGCTCAGTGTACAAATAAGCTTTATGGAAACAGGTGTATGTGCTACAACAGTTTTACTGAGGATGATCATTGCCTCCCAACACACATTTCTTATGAGGAATATCCTTCCAGTCTCAAAATCCCCCACTAGGTATCCATCACTCTAGTAATGGCTTTGTCTGCATCAAATGAACACTAACTCCCATGAATTTTGCCTAACTTTAACCCACTATTTCAGAGCTAAGAGACAAACCTGTCCATCTACAACAAAGCTTTGGAACAACATACCCTGTGTTCTGGGCATCAGTCGCTTTTCCTTGCTTCTCTGTCTCTTTTGCTACTCACCTGTTTTATATTTTAATTCTTATTCTTTTCTAGTGTCTGTAAACTTGGCATAAAGTATTGTACGAACTTTCCTTATGTCCCAAGATTTATTCCTCTATGTAGGTCACATGCTCCTGACAGCGTATTCTCTTTGTTCCAGGAAAACATATAAATGAATACAATAAAAAGTATGAAATGAATCAGCCTTGGTGCCAATGTATAAACACTCACCCCGGGCAGGTGTGAGTCCAGCATCGTTACAAACCTGGAGCTTACGTCAATAATATGGAAACAAGTCTCTAGCACTTTGTATGCGGAGCACGCAAAACTCCTAAGTGCCAACAATCTAAATGGCTTGCTTGCTGGCAGCAGATTGCTGGGACCAAAATCCATTTCTTTCTTAAGGGACATTTAACTTTTATTGTATCTTTACTCATAGTCAAAAGGCATCAGCAAATTTGCTAACATGAGTGAAGACACTCTTCCTAAGGCATCCCTAAACTTCTAAATCATTGCTGTCATAGTTTTTTGGGTGTAAGCTCATTTTTTTTTTGGGGGGGGGACAGAAACATGCTTTGTCCTGCATAAAGTTCTCATAGTTGTAAAAGGCTGAGGTTGTTTTAAAAAATCAGTGTTAGCAAATCCTCCAGTGAAGATATCTCTGAGATAAACTCAATCTTAAGAGTTCATCTCTGGTTTCATCAAAGCAGAGAATCTCCAACTCAGAGCTTTCAGCCCCTGTTAGCTGGGGGGTCTGGACCCTGCTGTATGGATGCCTGTCACTTCAGGCTCTAGAGCATGAGATGCGTGTGATAGGTATTTGTTGCAATAACAAGTAACATCACTCTCAAAGGGGTTAAACACCAGTACACCATGCAGGAACAGAACACACAGAACGACTGGCACTCAGACTCATTCATCCACAGGAAAATATTCTGCCATGCCCACACTCCAGAGCAGCAATTCTGATTTCCATTATTCTCCCCTTTGACCAAGACACACCTGGAAGACAACACACCAAGTACAGCCATGTGCATGTCAGAGTAATCTCTGCCCACCTTCCCCCCACCAGAGAAAGCCAGAATGCAAATGAATGAGGGTGTCATTAACGTGGGAGCCAGCTTGAACCCACTGCAATTTATTAAAAAGTTAACTGTCCGCCATGTCGGCCTTTCAGATATTAGACATGGCTTGAGAGGGATGTTTCATGGACAGAATTAATCACTATAACATGACTGAAGGTGCTTCTTGGCAGGCCCTGGCTCTAACACCCACTGTGTCTGTTTTCCTAAGACCCACAGAGAGCATCTCTGAGGGTCAGCCTGTCCCTAACGCAGCCATCTCTCTGAGTTCTTTTATCCATGTAACCACCACAAGAAGCACAGATTACTCCTGCTAATGGCCATTACACACGAGTCCCATTGACAAGTGGGTATACCTTGGTCCCCACCACTGTGGCCTTGAGGGAGGTGACTTAGGAGCAGCCGACTTACCACTCCACCGCCCGCTGAGTGCACCAGAACAGACATCCCTTCCCGGAGGTTGGCGACTTCAAAGAGCATCATGTAGGCTGTCACGAAGTTCATGGGGAACGCGGCAGCCTCGCTGAAGCTCATGTCATCCGGGATCTTGTAGACAAACTCCACTGGGGTGCAGACCACCTCTGCCCAGGCATTATAGTTGACAAAAGCCATTACACGGTCTCCAATCTGGGCATGGAAAATTACAGAATTAGCAGGGTAAGTCATGGCAGGTTGGGGTAGGGGGAGACCCAAATTACTGGGAACTGTCCGTGGTACAAATAAATACCCTTTCCTAATTCACTTCCTTGTGATCTTTATCCAAGTTCTTTTAAGTTACATAGCATTTATTCTTAGATGAAACAAATAATCTTTCACCCATTTGCAGTGAAAGCTTGAAAAAAACAGCTTATTTCAGTTTTATAAGTTACATAATTTATTTGATGAAACATGACAGCTCTATTTTTTTCTGTCGATCTAGCTTTGTTACGATCCTCCTCATCACTAGAACCAGGGAAGTTGGTTGGCTGAAGCCTCGTTCTCTCCTTACAATTTAGAACATCACTCATGTGGAAGAAAGAGGCCAGAAAAGTGCCAGCCCACCTAACGAACATGAAACAGTGGCACAGATTTTCTCCATTCTTGTAAAGCTACCTCCCACCTGACCAGCTTGTGCGCTGCTTTTAAAAGTTTCTTGGGGATTTGAGTCCCCATAGCCAAGCATGAGGAAATAGCAGCTTGGATGAAAAATAGATTTTTCTGTGATCCCAGCGGCGAAGCTACCATTTGCTGAGTAATTTCAAAGAACCAGACTCTGTCATCTTTATTTTATGTCAGTTATTTGATCAACATGCCAGATTTTAGAGATATTATCCCCATTACACCCGGGAAGAAACTGAGGCCAAGAAGGGTTAAGTGTCTTGCCTATGGTCACAGAGCCCTGTGCTATTCCAAATATCTTTTCATTACACAGAAATGGCTCCCTCCTTGAGTCCTTTCTCAGTTTTAGGTTCTAGGACTCAGAGACAGAATTGCAGTGAGGCACAATTCGTGTCTTCACATGTTTGTGCTCCTTAAAAATTTCACATGGCAAGTGCTATGAGTGACAGGGCTTCGAAGGCAAAGCCAGTTGGAGAGGATATTTTGATAGCAAAGGAAGCTGGCATGCAGCTATGATGGTGATCTTTCAGACATTGCCCAAAGAAGAAAACAATCATGTCTTGTGTGGCAGGAAAGCTGGGAGGGTCCAACAGATGCCAGAGTAGCCTGGAGGTGGGCTCGCCGCAACTTGGGGACTTGCCTCACTGGCCATTTCTGTGTATTTTGGAATAGGGCTGTGGCTGGCACAGGGTCTCAGTCTGTGGCTGGTGAGCGCACGATTTGTGGCTGGCCTGAGGTCTACAGGGAGCCATCTACCCACTTAGCCAGGTGCTGATGACATAGAAAGGCAACACACCGATCCTAGCATTGTTTAGACCTGGGTCACAAGGGGTTCAAGCAGGTGGGACCATGGGAGACACAGTCAATGTGTTCCCAGGGATCTCGAGACCACTGCCCCAGCAGCCAGCACATCCCTGTCGGAGGCTGGGCTGGCCTAATTCAGGAGAGACACCTGAATCCCAGGAGCAAATGATTCTGCTTGCCAGCAAGAGAGGCAATGCAGAGTTCAAGAAAGGGGCCTGCGACTCATCGATGTGGTGACCAGGTATCTGGGCACACAGGGCTTTCTGGTTGACCCCTCAGCTCTCCTTTCCTAATCTTCAGGAAATCTTGGCATAATCATTGTAGCACTCCCACGCATTTCCTCCCTGAGGCTCTGGACAGGGAGAAGTCTTTTCTTAGACTTCACTGTGCGCAGCCTGGGGCTCCAGCCCTCACCGTCTTCTCTCCTCTCTCCCAGGGCCGTAAATAACCCTGGACTCTTTGGATTTTGGAAGAGGTGGCCTCCACCTTGATGGTGGCAGCAACTTGTCCCAGGCAGGAGACAATTAATTGGCCTGGAATAATAAAGTGCAGCAGTGGGAGCTGAGACAGTGAGAGAGATAAGGAGAAGGGAAGGTGTGGCTCGGGCCTCTCCATATGATCTCTGTGGTCATCATAGAATACTGGCAGGAAAAATACCAGAAAGTTGCCAGGGAGATAGCTCAGCAGCATAAGCCCCTGCCTGGAAAGCACAAGGTCCTGGGTTCAATCCCTGGTATATATATCTTTTAAAAACTGTTTTAAAAAACTGGGGAAAGTGATGCTTGCATCCACCCTCGCACCTTGTGCCTTTATTTCTGTAGTTGGATTTCTCTCCTTTCCTTTTGACAAACCTTTTGCTTTCCTCCAAACCTCGGCTCAGATGCTGTTTCCCTGATGCTACCCCGGTGACCACTCTTCCCACAAAACCAGAGCTGGCCACCTTCTCTACGTTAGTGATATTTATATATACTGAGGGCCTCCTTTGTGCTGGCATTAAATATATAGTGAGTGTCTCTGTGTTTAGTCCCCGTGACAAGCCTATGTGGTAGCTTTTATTAGTGTCCTCATTTTGTAGTTAGGAAACTAAAGCTCAGAGCGATGAAAGAGAAAACCTTCTCCATGTGCCCAAGTGCACATGGTGAATACTGGGCGTTAGCTAAAGTCCATCCGACTCCTTCTACAGTCTGTCATTACTGTAGTAGATGAGGTAACCTATTATATTAGGTTACTTTTTCACATGGTTCTCACTCTCCTTTAAAGGACGACCTAAGACTGGGCGTGGTGGTGCGCGCCTGTAATCCCAGCAAATTGGGAGGCTTCAAACAGGAGGATCACTATGAGTCCGATCTATGCAGTGAGACCCTGGAGACCCTGGAGACCCTGGAGACCCAGCCTACACTACAAAAATAAATAAATAAATAAATAAAGGATGAACTCTCAGGGGGCAGAGGCAGGCACTACTACTACTTTTTTTTTTTTTTTTTTTTTTAGACCAGGTCTGTCAATATAGTGCAGGCTGGCCTTGAGCTTACTTATGTAACCCAGGTTGGCCTCAAACTCACAGAGATCTTCCTGCCTCAGCCTCCTGAGTGCTGGGATAATAGGTGAGTACCACCATGAAAGGCGGGCTTTACTGCTTTAGGGCTTCTCAATGCATAGTCCAGTCCTTGGCACCTAGTGAGTAATGGGTTGATGGGGATTGTTAGTAACAGATCCCTATATCACTTCTCCACCAGTGGGAAGCTTGGGAGAACAGTGGCAGAAGTTCAGCCTTGAAGGAGCTTCCAGTAATCTCACAGGAAGCATTTTTTTGGATTAAAAGGGAAAAGTACTGTTGGGTCTTGATTAGACTTAGGAAGCTCAGTGGGTGTGGCAACTGCTAGGAGCTGTGAATAGTGATAAGTGACATCTACCAAGAATCCAGTATGATCCCGAGTCTAGATTAAGTGCCTTTATTTACACAACCTTACAGGATTCCCACAAGAACTCCATGAAGTTCTTGAACTTTGGGAATAAAAATAAACTATTGTTATGCCCTTTGTATAGGTGGGACAATTGAGACTGAAGGGTGAAGGAAATTTTAAGGAGTGGAGCTGGAATAGTCCAGGCTAGCTCTGTCTGTCTCCAGAGCTTTTTCTGGGTGTGGACAGACGCCTCCTTCCCATCACTGCCACGCTGAGCTGTTTCTAAGGGGAAGACTACCTGGACTGACCACTCATGGGCTCCAGGACCCAGGAACAAAGGAAAATGCTGCACAAAGCTCAGTCTTCTAGGTATGAGCAGCAGCAAACCTTCCTTTCTTCGGATGGTGGCCGGTCTTCAGCTAAATGTGTACTCTTGCTGACTGTGTGGGGATTCTAGGGTGGCGCTGACTCCGACTCGTCCAGCTGGCAACAGCATTAGCTGAGTCCATGGATGTTTTCTTATTGCGTGTCTACTTGTACAGGAAGAACTAAGGAAACCTGAGCAGTGCCTGCTGTCATCCCCTCCTAGATCTAGGCAAAAGGTCATCCTGCCCAGGAAAAGCAGCCTCTTGAAACAGTAAAGCAATGGCCATGTTGCCCTAAACCTGGGTCACAACACAGTTCCACCACTGGGAGCTGTGTGACCACAGTCAAGCTGTTCGACCCTCCTGGCCCTTGGGCAGTGAATGTGTAAATCAGGGACTGTCCTCTTCTCCTACCCCATGTACAGTGGGTGATGCAATGTATGTGAACTTGGTTCTTGCGTCCCACTGAACTAGAGCAGTACTCCTTTCCTCCATCTCCTCTCTCATATGATCTGCTTTTACCTTCTCTGAAGGCCTATCTCACCTGAACACTTGAAGGTATTTATGTACACATGTTACATCCCCAATGCCTATGCGTTCTCACTCCAAATAAGAATCCCAGCCTCAGGAGGGTAGGAGCTTCTGACCCTGTTTGTCAGTACTATGCTCTTGTGCTGAGGGAAGTGTCCTTTCTTGCTTATTACTGGTTGGATGAATGAGCAAAGACACCCAAGAGTATTACTGGGAGGAAAGAGAGGGTCACTCAATGCTCTATTGCATATTTCAGAATCAAACACAGATTTAAGGGTTTCTTAATCTTTTACAGAGTGATTTCTCAAATTACAATCTGATAAAAAAAAAAAGAGAAACTTCTGTGTTTTCCTTCTCAGAAAACAAAGCAAAGCCAAAGCGCCCTCAAACATGCATACTCTGGTGGCCTCCAAACTCCCAAGTTCTCCTGGAACTTTTGCAGAACCTCTACAGAGATCTCTCAGGGACCGGAAAAGCCAACTCCTATGCCTCCCCTTGAACATGTTGCATGCAACACGGTCCACATTATGGGACGCAATGGTCAGGTCATCTTGCACTCATGCCCTCTGCTGCCAACTGCCAGTTAAACTCCTGTGATACTGGGTATGTCAGTTGCTGCATTATGGTTTGCAAGTACAAAATCCAAAGTGCTGTGGCTTAAGTGAACTTTGAATTAATTCATGCCTTCCACAGATAAGAGATTCTATCGTCTTAGTTTTTCCGTAAAACTTCACAGTTCCCTTCTGTCCCTACCCAACAACGACCACAGTAACAACAACAGACCTCCCCTTGGATGAGCTCTGCAATAGCCCTGCATCCAGATAAGTGCTCACAGACTTTACAGACATTTAAATTTAAGCAAAGAGATCAAGTCACAGGCCACAGTGCATGGAGTAAGAGAAGACCTGGACTAGGATTAGAATCC